TTGAAGCTGCTGGGTGCTCAACAACCGGGGAAATCTTTCCTCCCAATAAAAGCAATTAACTGCCAGAGGATAAAATAAGATTCTATCAAAGTGTATATGCTCATTTAAGCATACAGGTGATTAGGAAGGTTAAAGATAGTTTAGATTATCTGGTAATTCACGGAAAGAAGACGAGACAAAACCTATTATTATTTTTTGATTAAGTACAATTGCAAGAATTGCAAAATAGACTAGTGTTGGCAAATTCAAAGGTGCCACATACCAAGAACAGATACGTATGGTGCTATTCTTTCATGGAAAACAGGCTTGTAGCATTCTGGATGTGCATAATAGTCAGCCTGAAATTAGGAGAAAAGGAGAAGGAAAGGAAGAAACTGTAAGGACATGCTTTCCCGGTTGAAGACAACATTATATTCATCAAACTTGGAAAAAGAGAACATGGCCCGAAACTTACAAAGACTAAAAGCAGTTAAACATGGATTTAACATGCTACATTTCCCTTATAAATAATCTCAAGTATCAACCCAAATTGTAAGTGTTTTGATCAATAGCTTAAATTATTGTTCATCTTGTTGAGATCATGTGAAGATAATTGGATCCACCACTGTTGCCCAAGAACTTTACTTCTCTGCTTATTATCCTAAGGCACAATATTTTTTAGAGCTTGCCTCCTCTTGGTGACAAAAAATATAGGGTAGTACATGAACTTATTAATGGAATTCTATGAAACATATCGATGTATCAATGGACTTCAGGCTAACAGAACCCAAAAAACAAAACACAAAAATTACAGTTACCTTATCAAATACTTTAGGATTGTCTTTGTGCTCAACCATGTCCTGAGAAGTCACCACACAACCATACACTTCAAAGACTCTCTCCGATGCCTGACCAGGCAGAGGAGGATCCCTGGCCTAACAATAAGGGATATTTTCATGTAAACTAAAAGAATGTAGTTCAATGCAATTTATCAGATAAGCAAAGTAGAGAAAACTAGCACCTGTACATCAATTGGAACTTAGAAGCATTAATAAACAAATCTCCAATTTGGAACTTTGAACAGCTAATTCTATTATCATTTCTCACTGGTATTGCAAGTTCTAGAAATAGACTAGAAACCATATCTATAACCTCAGAAAATATGAAAGAGTAAGTGCTTTAACCTATGATAAAAGTTTAATGACATCTAAATGCACTATAATCTGATCTCTTGATCAGAGTTTTTTTTCTTTCTCGAAAATCATTCTTAATCAATTGTCACCAAAATGCAATATCATCATGTTTGTGATAAAATTTAGCACTAAAAAAATTACAAAATAAACAAATAAATAAATAAAAGCACAAAAAAACAATAAAATTGACAACACCAGCAACAAAATAATTAAGAAAATGAATAAAAAAGTACGAAAAAAACCAATAAATTTTACAACACCAGCTACCAAAATAATACAAATTTGGAAAATAAACAATAAACCCAAAAACTTAACGAAATCCGAGCTTCTGGAGAGAAGAAGGTAGAGAAGGAAATATTGTGGGCTTCAGTATTCAAAAAAACCGGGCTTCAGGATCAGGTTTAAGGAGCAAATAATCATTCTAAAACCAGACTTTTACAATAATAACTTAGTTCTAACCTTTCAAAAAAAAAAAACTTAGTTCTAAGAATTAACAAATTAATCTAAATAGAAAATTATTTTCAAACTAAAGCATACTTTCTCAAATAGTTGTGGAAGTTTGCTTGGATCAACAAAAGTGTGAGGAAGAAGCTTAAATATCTCCTGTGCCCCAAGAGATCCTGTAGGAAAAAAAGAAACAAAAATAAGATATACCATACAAGGGAAAGCCATAGTTACTATTTGGTTGGTATTTTTGTAACTTGCTTGATGCTTCATAAAAGCAAGAGTACAAAATGCCTTTACAAGAAAGGAAAAATGTATTTTGAATAATTAACAAATTAAAAATTAAAATTGAGTGACTAACATATTATGATTTTACTCTCATATAGCAATGAAACAATTATACTTAAATATTTATTGCATTTTTCAACTATTTGATTATTTTTTATCAGATATGCTTTTTGCATTTTACATTTTTTCTTCTTAATCAGAAATCTTGAATAAGTTGTTCAGGGCCTCATGAAGTAACGGCTGGGGTTTGAACTCTGCCACCAATATCCTGGGATGTGGGGTGAGTTACTGTTGGATGCTCAATCAAGTTTTGGGGCCAAACAGAGAAGATTAAAAACAAAGCAGCCTTCAAAAGTAAGGAAGAAGTTATCAGAAAAACCAGAAATTGTCTGGTAATACTCAGAATTGAGAATACCATGGATTTTGAAGATAGTTTAATTAAGTTTTTCTTCCTGAAGAGTAATTATCATGATATATTTAAGTGGAAGTAAATATATTAGCCAATATTCAGGCTGTACAATCTCCAGGCTATAAATCTAAAATTTTATCATAAGAGCAGTGAATTGCAACGTTTAGAATACCTTTTCCAGAACCGGTAAAAACAAAGACGAGAGGACAGATTCCTGATGGCAACCCCTCCCTTGCAATCTCGTCTCCTACAGAAATTACAGCTGCCTTAGCAGCAGTCACTGAAGGATACATGTAAGATGCACCCAGTGACAGGAAGGGCGTAGAATATCCAAGATTTAAATACCCTGTGAATTGTAAAGACCCTTGAAATCAGCTTAGCAATCAAGTAGAAGTGAACAATATACATTTGCAAGCGATGCTTCAGGCTCAAGTTTCCGCTATATCAGCAAACAAGATTAACGATAGAACATATTGGCAATATTTACATTTAATGATTCAAGATATCAGAAAATAATCGAGACTCAATTCTGCATAATTCATAAGCCTCCATTAAAATAAAAGCCCCTTTGATTAGGAAAGGCCAAAAGGGATTGTAAGTTGAGAGCTTACTCTCCCCTAGTCCTCGTAATAAGTCAATTAAAGCCACTCTTCCAGCAAATTTTCCAAAAGCAATTAATCTCTTCCCATTGTCTCCATCAACAAGCTCGTAGTCAAATAATGTCGCCCTTTCAGCCAGGATCTATAACCAGAAAGAGCCAATAGCATTATATCTAAGTTTTGCATGATAGACTGTTGATGACTACGAGGTAAAGGAAGTACCTTGTCCAACAAGGGCATGTTTTCTTCCTGTGCCTTGTGAGTGTGTGAAAAGAAGGCATAAGCTGTATCAGGACGAATCATCTCCAACTGCATCAGAAGGCAGGGGACAACCATGTTAACCTTCCCATGTTCACCAATAACAAAAACAAAAAAGAAAACCGTGTACTTCAAATTTTGAACTATAGTTTGTAGAGTTTATGATGAATATATAACTAGCGAAAGATTCATGAGCAATTATGATTGTTAATCAATTTTCTTTAAATATACATCGTAATAAAGCAATCAAATCAATTGAGGTTAAACATTTTTTAAGATTTGAGTATTTTTTATTCAAATATTCTTGTACAAAATTAAAAACTTCGCTTAAAGAACTCTACAAATTAAGTACTTAGTTAGGATTTAACAAACAACAGAAAACAAAAAAATAATAATAATAATCTACTAGTAAGAATAAAGGGAAAAGAGAAATTAAGAGTCAGAAGAAGTTGGCAGTATTACCCTCGGCATTTTGATGCCCAAGACGAGGCCACATGCCGACAAGTCGTCTGATATTTCACAGCCGACCTCTTCGTAGTGTTTATCATGAAAGATGCGCTTGCTGGATGGTTGCACGATGATGCGAGCCACTCCCTGGCCAGGACTTTTATCCCTGCCACCGTTGAGAAGTCGAGCACAGTGTGATGGGGTCAAAGGCGCCCTTCTTTCCCACTTATTTGAAGTTTCAGACAAGATCCCAACCACTCCATTTCCAAGCATGCTGCTCTTCCCCTAAACTCCGTAGTTTTATCACTCAATGGTTAGCAAATATATCTTTCCAAAAGGAAGGTCCATTAGCAAACATAAACGGAAAGTACTCGTATAGAAAGGTGGTCAGAAAGAAGAAGAGAAGGATACCTGTCAACGTCTAGTGTTCTTAAACCAAAAATTTCAGCTGTGGTAGTACAACAATTTCAGCTGGCAAAACTAAACCTGTATCTATTCTTAAACCAAAAATTTGGGCCCTTTGAAGCAGTCCATTTAACCATACCTTGACCTTTATTCCTCTAGCCCAATCGAAAAAGAAAGGAAAAATAAAAAATAAAAAAGCTAACAAAAAAAAAACCAAAATAAATTTCCCTCTTTTTCACAACCTTCACAGTTCTTCAAGCCTTGAAAACCCCATTTGGCTCCATTCCCCATTCCATAACAACACCCCTCGTTCCTCTCTTTCCTCACTTTCAAGTTCAATTTTTTTTTTGCTTAAAGAAATAGAATCAAACAGATAGATATAATATTCTATTTTTTCCCCAAGAGATTATGATTATGCTCATTAAATTCTATTCATGTCTGGTACCATTTTTCATTTAGATAACATTTGTTATTGTACAATATAATTTGATTACAAGTAATATGATTGTAAGTAATATGATTATAAAAAAAATAATATTATAGTATTTGATATATAAATAAAATAATAATTAAAATATAAAAACGATAATATTGTAGTATTTAGTTTATAAGTACTTTATTAAGAATGTGATGTTAATTTTTAAAATTATTTTTATTTATTAAAATATAAATTTAATATATTTATATTTTTATAATTAATTTTTATATAATATCATCTATTAAATATTTTTTAATATCATATATTTTATTTTTACTTCTTATTATAATTTAATATATTTTATTTTCATTTTTTAATATAATTTTTAATATTATATATTTTATTTTCATTTTTTACCCATATTATACAAATTTTAATATTTATATTTTATTTTATTTTATTTTTTGATTTTTATATTATATATTTTATTTTAATATTTTTTATTTTAATTATAATATTATAAAATATTTTTAATAAAGTAATAAAGTTGAAGAGTAAAAATATCTTTAAGAACATTGTAAAATGTAATGTAATGTAATTGCATTGATTTTAGATTGCAATCACATTACATCCCTTGGTTGTAATGTGATTGCATTACAATATTATATTACAATAGTTTATTGTAAAACAAACACTGTAATATAATTTAATTAAATATATTACAAAAAATATGTTTTCACTTTTCTCATACCAAATGCTACTTAAAATCAGTTCTCTTTTGAGTTTCTCTCAAAATCTCTCAATTTTTTATTTTTTATTTTTTGGGTTTTTTTTGAAGGTATGGTAATTGGGAGTAACCATATTCAAAACCATAACCACCAAGAAGATGGAGAGAAAAACCCAACTAAGGGAGGAGCTTCTAGGGCGTGGCGCACGACCGTTTTCAGGTCAGTCCGTTTCGACTAGTGGTAGTGTTGGCTCCCCCTCGAGCCGGAGTGAGCAAGAAATGGCTACACCAGCTAGTGAGAACACCTTTTTAAGATTGAACCATCTCGATATACACGGAGATGCTGCTGGATCTCAAGGTGAAGTTGGGTGAGTGAGTTTTTTTTTTTTTTTTCTGGGATACCCTTTTAGCTTGAGTTTATGATATCCATAATTTTAATGCATAATATATCAAAAAGTTTTTAAATTATTTAAAAATTTTAAATAAATTTTTATATTTTTATTATATATAATCAAATCTTTATATTTTTATTTAAATCAAATAAATTTTTATATTTTTTATTTTAAGTTAAATAAATTTTTATGATTAATAATTGACATGCTATTTATTATTTTATATTACATAATATTGATGTAATATGTTAAAATATTATAATTAATTATGATGTGACATATTAACATATCATAATTGATTATAACATGACATACTAATTTAACATAAAAACATGATTGTCTTACATTTTTCATCTTCTACATCAATGTTATATCAGTGTTATGTGAATATAAAATGACAAGTAATATTTTTACTAATGATAATTAGTCAATTATTAGTCGTATGAGTTTATTTGATCTAAAATAAAAATACAAAACTTGATTAAACCTAATAAAAAAAGATATATTTGAATATTTTTAAATAGTTTAGAGACATATTTGAGCATTAAGCTTAATTTTAACTGTTTTAAATTACTAGAAAAGATTTTGAGATAAAATTACTTTTAATGAAATTTTTTTATATTTAAACGCAGGTGTTGCACGTTATGCTTAAAAAATGTTGTTATTATACGTCATCTTGAAAAAAAATGTTGTTACATTTCATAATTAAAAAATATTGTTGATTCATACCATGTTGAAAAAAAAATTTCTCGATACACATCATGTTGAAAAAAAATTATTACACATCTTATTTAAAAAATATTATTATTACACACCATATTCAAAAAATTTTGTTACATGTCATATTTAAAAATGTTGTTGTTAAATGTTATGTTCAAAAAAAATTTGTTTACACGTCCTTTGGAAAAAAAAATTATTACATGTTATGTTCAAAATAATTTTATTATACGTCATGTTTACAATGTTGCTACGCATTATGTACAAAAAAATTTTATTATACGCCATATTTAAAAAAATATTATTACATGTAATATACAAAAAGATGTTGTTACATGTCATGTCATGTTCAATAAATTTGTTACACGTCAAATACAATAGAGTTGTTACATGCAGGCATAGCATGCAAAAACTTTGAGTAGAAATCTTACTTATAGAGTTCATTTCATTTATAATTTCAACCTATGAATTTTAGAGTTCTATGAATATAAATCAATATATTCAATAATATGTTGTTATACGTTATCCTATGTTCTTTAGTTTGTAAATCGAAGACAATATAACTAGATGACTAGAAATAGATAGAGAAATAGTGATGGCATTAAAATTAGATAGAGTTGCATGGTGAGGGAGACAGAAAATATTTAATTTGTCTAGATGACAAGAGAGAGAAATTGAGGCAAGATAAAATATTGTCTGAAATGATTTAAATGACATTTTTTTCCATTTAGGAAAAAATGATAAAATGAATTAATTTTATATTAAAGGTTATTTTTGAAATTGGGTTCAGTAAACAATTAACTTTATAACACACAATTTGCTCTTCCAATAAATTTCCATGATAATATTAGTAAACCTCAATTGAGGCCCAACGTCACGTTGCTCTCAGATTAAACCCAAAGCTGAATCTTGTGCTGCCACTAGTTTTTTAGGCCTAAATCATTGTTCAAGATTCTGCAGTATAAGGTCATTTCTAGTTAAATGAAGTCATGAATTCTGGTCGATAACCCTCATTCTGCGGCATAACTACAGAGCAATTTTGCAATAATTTCGAGAATAAATCAAACTTGGCTGTTCATTAATGATCTCATTTGATCTCTTGCGATTGAAATATAGTTGTACTGACTAATTAAACTTCGGAGAATAGGCTTTAAATGGGATGGGCCACGGATAATCTTTTTTCTTTGTTGGATAAATGGGCCATGGATAATCTTGTACTTCAAGGAATTTATTTGCTCATTCCAGTCTGGCTTATGGCTGCTCAATTGTCTATGTCCCGAGGGAACTCATTCTCCATCAGGTCGTCCCACCGTGAAGGTATCAGGTATTTACTGGGTCCTAATAGTAGAGATATGCTCTTTGATTTTTTTTTGTTTGCCTGTTTTGCTCTCTTAAAATCTCTTAATTTTGAAAGCCTCTGCTCACCGAACATAACTAAATCAAATAAATATAGAAGGAAACTGAAAATCATTCAAAAAATGAATTCCATATGAGAAATGTTCCTCGTCATCTTCCTCGAGTCGTTGTTAGACTGTTCTACTTTGATTTACTTTATCAGTTGCCCCATTATATAAAATATGCTTTCTTCATTTTTATTATCTCAATTAAGATATTGTAGTAGCTTCATTATTGAATGGTTTTCTGATCATTCTAATTATCACCATCTAAATACTTTGGATAGAGAAAAGCTTTAGAATCCTCACACACCAAATTTTGACGTCAAAATTTAGCATTTAAACTATAGTACCATCACTAAATTTACCAATGAATTTTTGGTGTTGGGGGCAATTAATCCATCCATAAACAAATTAAATGCTCACCAAAATATAAATACCAAGTTCAGAGAAGGAAGACATATCGGTTTCTTTTCATTTTCTTGTTCGGTTTAATGGGAATCACATGCATGTTGGACCTATAATTAATTGAAATCTTGAAATATATTAATCAAAGTCATTATCATCCGGTTGTAAAATTAGGTCTTTGGACCTAATGTTTTTGAACCAATCAGCACGCCATTCTTGGATGCTGAATAATTTAATATGCTTAATTAAAGAGTCACCAACAAGAGGAGAGAGTAGAGTGGTTAAGTGAAGCTGTTTAAAAGTCTTGACAGACGTAAAACGTCTTCGAACAACGGCAAATGCAACCAAATTCTGCGAGCAGTAGGACTGGCGGCTGCATAACCTTGTTTGGCTTCTTCCATTTGATTAGCAAGTACATATTTTTCCTTAGAATTGCCATGCTGAAAGCTGTCCAAATTCAAAAGCCAGAGCCTCTGATTACTGTGGGATTCTCACCGTCACGCAAATCACAGAGAGAGAAAGAGAGAGAGAGAGAGAGAGCAAAGATTCTTGACGAATCACGCAAACAGAAAAGCTAAAGATTTGATGAACCAAAGGGAATTTGACACTTCCCCCAAGTCGGTGCATGAAGGATGGACAAGGGTTCCCCATAATTAATAGTCAAATGCTTTCTACTTCTTGAAAAACCAAGAAGCATAATTGAAATGGGAAAAAGGGTTGCATCAAAAAGCAAAATTCTTCTATGGAAGTTTCAAAAGATTAGATTGATGGATCCATGCAAATGAGAATCCAAAGAAACAGTGAAAGTTGTCGAATCGATGCTCAATTAAATAATTAACGGTCCCTAACCAAGATTATCTTTTGACAATAAAGTAAAAAGCAAAGATATTTATTACTGTGAAAGAGTACGTGTGTGATAACGAATACGAAAAATGTTGCCAATATATAACGAAGACGAATACGATATGTTGGCAACAATTTGGTGGATTTTTCGCAAGAGACAGAGAAAGACCGCGTGCACATTTATGGCTTCTTCTTCTTCAAAAGAAGCAAAGCTGTAACGCGTTTTCGCGTCTACCATCTTTAAAGCGATACCCTCTTTAATTAGTGCCTTTACTACTTTTGAAAAAGAAGCCACCATGCTTCATGTCTCAGGATATATTCTTACAAAATTCGAATAATTTAGTTTTTGTCTCCACGTTATTACTGCAAAGGATTCTTATTGTGCCAATTAATGGGTGGTCAACCAAACATAGTGAAAAATCATTATTAACTTATGTACGTGAAACTTATAAGTGTCTATTTAAAAAAAAATTAATATTTAATGTATTAATAATGTATAATTTTTATACATTGTCAGATTATCAAATTTTAACACTTCATTAATAAGTTAAAATGAATAAAATTTATTTTTTATTTTGTTCAAAATAATAAAGTTTCAGAATAACGTCAACTTTTTATTTTCTTTCAAATAATACCTCATTGATGAAGTGTTAAAATTTAATAATCTGATAGTGTATAGAGAGTATATATTGTCAATGTATCAAATATTATCTTTTTAAAAAATATTTTAGATTTTTCTTTCATTATCACAATATAACTAGGACAAATTAAAACAATTATAAATTGTTTGATTGGATTGTTTCACATAAATCTTATAGTCTAAATTTGAGCATTACATAACATCATTCTAGGTTTATCTTGTCAATTAAGAAAAATAAAATAAAGTAATTGAAAAGAAATCGAAAGAAAGTAAAATAAAAAATAATAATATGGTTTTCTTGTTAGGGATATGTGGATTTTCTATATATGGAAAAAGGCTTGACACAGTACTCAAAAGCAATTAATGGGGTTTTAGTCGCTTAGGAAAGTAGAAAGAGAAGCTAGATGGTTTTTTCTCTTTGTGAATGCAATAGTTAGGTACAGATCTCTACAATTGTTTGATTGCGTTTTTCTATTATATTTGGTATTATCGTGGAATCCCTTGTTTAATTGAGATTTCCCCTATTTCTATGGATAGGTTGAGAGGCATTACTTAGAAAGGAGGAAAAAAGGACTGCAATGCAGAGGCATGTGGTTTTTCTTCTATTTTCTTCTAATGAAACCAGCAGAGAGAATTTTTCGTCTAATGGGTTTTCTTTACAACCTTCGTAACATGTTCTGAAATCTAGGTCTGACAAAATTAGTAACTTCAGTGTAACAGTATAGGTACCATTATTAACCCTTGAAAAGAAAAAATGACTCAGCTTGTATAACCATGAACACATGCATGCCCTGCCTTACTCCCCTCCCTCCTCCTTCATAAGCAGATGAACATGTCATGGGTCCCGGAGCTATCCATACATAGTTGAAAAATTAAAAACTATTGGTTTTTTTTATTAAAAATTTGAGAAATTTTTTGAGAAAAGATAATGAGGATAAAAGGGAATTAGACTCAAACAAAATATACAATTTTTCACAAAAAAAGGGGTTTTGATAAACTTGCATGTTAATTTGAGATCATAAGGGAGTTTGTTTCCTTTGTTTCTCTTTTGATAAATTAAAAGCATAGTTTAATTTCATATTGATATATTGTAAGTTATTGAAACATTTCTGAATAATTTCGTTTTTTATTTTTAATCGTAAAACTATTAATTATTGAGAGAAGTAAATTAAAATATAGATTTCTTTTGGCTTCCATAGCTAAAAGGGGAAGGTGAATTATATATACATGATCTGTAATTAAATGGTTGATACTTGATATAAACATAGAGAAGAAAAAGGTGGGAGACATTTGGACTAAAAATAGGCGAGGCGAAACCATGAGCAATGGGCAGGCACACAAGCCTAGAGGACGCCACTCGTTTGGATTTAAGCAATAAAAAATCCTCACTTTTTTCACCGCCGACACCAGGATAAATAGACCACACCCAACACTGTTGCTGATACAATGACTCATGGCACCCCAGTCGTCGATCATCTCCACGAGTCCCACCTTCCTTCTTAAATTCCTTCACCTTCCCATCTAACTCTCAAACTCCTTGCTAAGTAGCCTTGTAACCTCCCCTCCTCTTTCTTCCATAAATTCATTAGGGCTCTGTCTCTATTCTTCACTACATGCTTATCTTCTTTCTTTATTTATAATTATATATCTTCATTGTTTAGCATATGTTACCCAAAAACATGCCAAATTTCTCCTCACATTCATCGTTGGTGTTGTTGGTTGCTCTTTGTTTGTGCTGTACCTCATATGCGACCTCCAGTAGCGATGATTTTCTGCGAGCTGAGTGCTTAAATGTGCCTGCAGCCGAGTTTGTAGGCTCTCTAAGAACCACCATTGATGCTGTAAGAAAAGTGACCTCCATCGTCTCTCAGCTTGGAAGCTTTTTTGGTGATTTTCGACTTTCTAATGCCGTCTCTGATTGCCTTGATCTGCTGGACTTTTCTGCTGATGAGTTGAGCTGGACTCTGTCTGCTTCCCAGAATCCTAAGGGTACTTTACTATGTCTTAGCTCCTTAAGAATCTTCCCTTTTCTTTTCTTGTACCTATTGCTCGCCTTTTTCCTTGAAAAAGTTTAATACATATGGAAGCATATGATTCCCAATCACTTTTTCCCCCTTTGGCGTTTTAATGAAATTATAAGAAAGCATGTGATTACATGCAACTTTTGTGGTGGCTAGGTAACTGTATGTAATCTCAACTACATTAGCTAACTACATCGGCCTTTGTTTAATTTTCCGTTAATGTCTTACATATATTTGAGGTCATATATAAATGATAAAACTAGTACTTGAAAAGGTAAGCTTTTACTTATATGCAGCTAAACAAAACAGCACTGGTGATCTAAGTTCCGATTTGAGGACATGGCTGAGTGCCGCAATGGCTAATCAGGAGACATGCATTGATGGGTTTGAGGGTACAAGTAGCGTGATCAAAACTGTAGTGGCAGGGAGCCTTAATCAAGTCACGTCGCTGGTCAGTGACCTTCTCACCATGGTGCACCCGGGTCCCAGTTCAAAATCGAATGGAGGTGCCAGCAATGGTGGTAACAAAGGAGGAGGAGGAGGCGCTTCTGGGGGTCATCCGGGCCAGAAACTAGCAAATAAAAGGAACCAATTTCCATCATGGGTGAAAAGGGAGGACAGAAAACTGTTAGAGGTAAACGGGGTAACAGCTGATGTTGTGGTTGCAGCAGATGGGACTGGAAACTTTACTAGCATAATGGATGCAGTTGCTGCAGCACCCGACTACAGCATGAGCAGATATGTTATTTACATTAAGAAGGGTTTATATAAAGAGAATGTAGAAATTAAGAAGAAGAAATGGAACCTTATGATGGTTGGTGATGGAATGGACGTTACAGTAATATCCGGAAATCGAAGCTTCATTGATGGTTGGACCACGTTTCGATCAGCAACTTTTGGTAAGTAGTAGAATCAATTATTTTAGTGGACTTTGTTAAGTTTTAAGACCCACAGCATCATCAGTTTTCTTTGCAAAAAAGGAGGAAGCCATAAACACTCGTGGCAGCCCATTAGAGCATAACTGCATATCTATAAAATCCCTACTGAAAATTCAATGCAGGGGTTGATCCTATGCCTCCATGGCTCAACTAGTCAACCTCCTTGAGGGCATTGGTTGGGGTCATTATTTACGACTGCTAGGTAGCATAGATGCATTCATTTGAAATTAGTTTGTACAAATATTAATTATCCTTGTTAAGGACTTTTGTATGACATTTTTTGAGTGCTAGAGTTGGCGTGTTCCCACTTGACATCCCAAGAACCCATACCTGCATGGGTTGTATGTATGGAAATATGATGTTGCCCCCAGACATTTTTTCTGCTTTTCGCAACACTAATATGGTGAAACGTTTATACAAGACGTATATTTTTTCCCATCTAACTTTCCTCAGATGAGAAAAATAATAAATTTAACAAAACAAGTAGAGAGCTGTATCCCCTGCTTCTACTATTCTACACACTTCTTGACTTACAGTATTTAGTGATTCTGCACTTCTTTTCTACCTGTGATTTCTAGAGGACAAAATGAAGAAGCTTTGTAGAACTAAAAGTAAAAAGTTTCCAGAGTGAATTACATGGGTAATTTGATTTTTGATAACCAACAAGAAGAAAGATCTAAGACTTGCAACGTGAAATACTCTATAGGTTTAGAGAACAGTTCAATTTGGGGCCATTAATGTTCTTCTCTCTTAAGAATTTTAGTAAGAATCTTGAAATTGTTATGGTGCATAGCTATTTTCGATATTGTCCTTTTTTTTTTTCGTTACTGTTATTCTAATATGCATCACACATTTTGTCCTAAACTCTGCAGCTGTAAGTGGAAGAGGATTCATAGCGAGAGACATAACATTTGAGAACACAGCAGGGCCCCAGAAACACCAAGCAGTGGCATTGCGATCCGACTCTGACCTGTCAGTCTTCTTCCGATGTGCTATTAGGGGCTACCAAGATTCGCTCTATACTCACACAATGCGCCAATTTTTCCGGGAATGTAAGATCACTGGCACTGTGGATTTCATTTTTGGTGATGCAACTGTGGTCTTCCAGTACTGTCAAATCCTAGCCAAGCAAGGTCTACCAAACCAGAAAAACACGATCACCGCGCAAGGCCGAAAAGACCCGAACCAACCTACAGGCTTCTCTATTCAATTCTGCAATATCTCAGCTGATACAGATTTGTTACCTTTCGTAAACTCCACTGCTACATACCTTGGAAGACCCTGGAAGCTGTATTCAAGAACTATTCTCATGCAATCCTACATTAGTAATGCCATAAGGCCAGAAGGGTGGCTTGAGTGGAATCAAGATTTTGCTTTGGACACATTATACTATGCAGAGTTCATGAATTTTGGGCCAGGGGCTGGTCTTGGTAGCAGAGTTAAGTGGCCTGGCTACCATGCCTTAAATAACTCTGCTCAAGCCGCTAATTTTACGGTGGCTCAATTCATTAAAGGAAACTTGTGGTTACCGTCAACTGGCGTTAAATACACAGCAGGATTGGGGGTATAATGAAGCAATCGATGTAACTTCATTAATGTATTTAATGTAGCATATCTTTTTCATATATTATTAGTGATAAGTTTTGTGTAGAATCCTTTCTTTGACGGGTTTCAACTTTCAAGTCTCTTATCTTTGTATCTCTGTCAAAAGATCTCCAATTAGCAGTCATGACTCACCGAGGGATCAATCTGCATAATCAAGCCCTGACGGCCTCTGAATTCTGAGAGAGGATTGTTCGTGTAGACAAGTGATTGCAATTTTTCTGAATATTGTAATGAAAATTGAAAGCCGAGATGTGAGATGAGTTGGTTTTATTGTGGAAAAGAGGATGAAATTTCACTCTTTCTCATGATATTTAAACCACTTAACCAATTATAAAAGCTTATGATTTGTAAAATTTACCGTCAAAAGTCAATCTTATGCGTATATGTTTATAATTTGTTAAAGGTTCCACTTTTGAATAGTTACCTTTAATATATATCAAAGATTAATATTTGATACGTTAACAATTTATAACTTTTATACATTATTACATTATTAAATCTTGATATTTTATTAATGAAGTAAAAAAAATAAAATGCAGCTTTTATTTCCTTCAAAATAATAAAATCTCAAAATTATAACACCTTTTTATTTTTTTAAAAAAATACTTTATTAATGAAGTATTAGGATTTGATAACATGATAGTGCATAGAAACTTTCAAATATTTTTCCATACATTCATTAAATACAGAATCTCGTTTAAACGATAATCTTAATTACTTGACCTTTAAGGGTAACAAGTTAATCAAATTAAATCTCCCCCAAGGCAACATGTCAAACCTGCACTTTTCATTGGCCATATCTCCCAGGACATTTGTGGCTAAGTTATATACACATTTACGCACAGTTCCGATCGCATTTTAACTTTGATTATTTGTAGGTGGTTTTGTTATTAAAGGGATAGAAATAGAGCATAGTTTTCATACGATGTGGCGTTCAATAAATTACCGAGTGATTATCTCAGCCACCCGACGAAAATAGGCCGCCGTCGTTGGAGTAAACACAGGGCCGGATGGCCGTTATTGGAGCAAATTTGCTGAAGTTCATCATCGGTTATTGCATGAGAAGGGCCTAGCATGCATAAAACAAGAACGACTAGTTGGTGGAGAAATACAAAACCATCTTGGATATATGAATCAAGTATTAAGATAAGTAACATTTCTCAAATATAATCTTAATCTGCTAATAAATGCTTTAAAGGAGAAATAATTATATCATACCCGTAAGAGACTCATCCAATAATATAATGTCGAGTGTCAACAATTTTCTCCATTAATGAAGTAATTTACTTGTTTGAACCAAATAGCTAAATCACTGTTCAACATGAAACAGGCCATTAATCCACCCCCCCCCCCCCTTCGAAGTGTCATTATAGATTAAAAAATTTGTACATAAATATTTTATTTGATCCATACTTTTGTCTCTTACTCTCTGCCTTTTGGGTCAAATATTGTCTCTTATCCTTTTAAAATTGATGATTGAAAATATATAAAGAGAAAGATAGTATCACATCACGTAAAATAAAAAAGTGTAAAAAATATCATAATTAATTTAATTAAATAATATAAAAATGTTTTTATTCAATGTTTACGAAAATCTGATTGATAAAAAATTTCAAAAAAATTATAAATGATAAATTTCTTGCCGTGATTTTTTTTCAAACATTATATTAAAAGTGTTGAGAGGATTTAGAAATTTTTTAATACAAAAGTTTTCATTTACTATTAAATAAAATTAGCAACTGTTTAATTTAAGAAATATTAAAAAAAGAAAATAAAATTGATTAATGATAAAATTAAGGTTAGATAACGTGGAAAAAAGTCTTTAAAAAGAAAAAAAATTAAGGAAGAATGAAAAAAAAAACCAAAATTCAAAAAAAAAGATAAAAAGATCAAATTAATATTATTTGATAAAATATCGAATCAATTAAATGATCGAAAGGAAAAAAATGCAAGAATCTTTTAGTAAAAAATTGGGGGAAAAGAAAGGAGAAGAGACAATATAGGGAATATCATAAGTGGTGAAACCAATGCCACCGACGATTACAGTTGAAAATTTTCATGAAAATTTGTAGTAACGTTTTTTTTAAAAAAAAATATGTTAAAGAGATGAATAATTTAAAGGGTCCCATTGAAGTGTTGACAAAGTACAAGAAAATTATTTTTATAAAAAGATCAATTTTCAAATAATCATAAAGATCAAAATATTGCAAAGAAAATAAAAATAAAAATAAAAATCATGAAATTTATAAATAAAATAAAATTATTAAATAAATAATTACATTTTACTAATATACAAGGAAAGAAAAATATAATGAATTTTGATAATCATGATTAATATGAATTATAGTCATTTTTTTAAACCAATAACCATTAAACAATTATATGAATGCAAAACACAGACTACAAGTAAGATCTATACTATATATAAAAAGAAGTCCCACGTGGAGACTTTAGGAGTTGTAAATTTTAGATATGGTTTCCAACAGAATTATTAAATTTTACCACATGTATCTTAGAGGAGGAGAGTTGTGATGTGTTTGGTGGGTGGGTTGCATCTTGAAGAGAATAAGCTAGGCGGACCGTGTATAATGCATGAGTTTCCTATGGATTTCCTCAAAAATAATTATTCTTTTCGTCATTTAGAAAAATCCAATTTTTGATTTTTATTAATTTTAAAAAAATATACATAAATCAAATGAAGTTTAAATAATTAAGTTGAGAAGCTTACAAGTTAATCGGGTGGTCGGATACAGAAAACAAATGCCTCTATCAAGAAGGCTAAAAATTGTTGATCAAGAATGTAAGCATGTGAAAAATATTTAATGTGCAGGGACAAAAGTTAAATACAATATTTGACTTCATCGCGTGAATCGCTACACACAAGACAACCGTCAACTTGCGACCTTTATTATGTTATAATTAAAGGGAAAAGAGAATTCAAAGTTCTTAATTTGAGATTTTAAGTTAATTTGAATCTTGATATGTTGAAAATGGGGATTTTTTTTTTTTTGGAGTTTGAATCTTGTTTATGAAGTTTTTAGGCAGAAGAAAAAGGGGCTCTGCTCTGCATTCTTGAACGTGGTTTGTTGCAGTGAAACAGAGAAAAAGCACGGAATCATTGGCATGCTGCAGAAGAAAAATGGGTACCCATACGAAAGCCCTTACCTCGTTCTCGTTTGTATTTATTGATGCCCGAATAATCTCCGACATGACCATCTTCTCTACTTGTTTTCTGATTAATTAACCCATCAATCTAAACGAAAATTGTTGTAAAACTCGTGAAGAAAATATAAGCAATGTCCATGGCCTGATGCAGCTCCCTTCTCCCTCAATCCAAATTGGCAAATTTGAAATATCCCTGAGTTTGTCTCTTTGTCTCAAATTTCCTGTGAAAAAGAGAGAGGAAAAAAACAAAGGAATAGTAAGACTGGCAAAGTTCAGTGCCCCAGGAGCCTGGACACTATCTATCTCAGTTCGGCGTATTCTCTGCCACATAATTTAGACTTTCCACTACCATATTCTTTTCAAAATCCACCGTAATTGGTTAATATTGTATTTTTATTACAGAATCACAGACGTTAATCCAAACAAAAACCCATGCAACTTGTGTTCCCAAAGACTATATGTTAAAACAATGAGCAATTAGCCTTATCTGATTTCCTAGGCCTATAAACTACAGAAAATTCCTCTTAGCTTCTGCATCCGTTTTCAATGGCTTCCTCCAACCCAAAATTGTCTGTCCTCCTCTTCACCATTTTCTTCTCTTCAACATTTGCTCTCAACACCTCTTCTACAACTTCTCTAAACTCCAATCTCTCTTCCATACGAAGTTTTTGCGAAACCACACCATACCCAGAGGCTTGTTTTGATTCATTGAAGCTTTCCATTTCGATAAATATCAGTCCCAACATACTTAGCTACCTACTCCAAACTCTCCAGAGTGCCTTATCTGAAGCTGGAAAGCTAACCAATCTATTCTCTTATGGTGGAAGAGCAAATATTGTTGAAAGACAAAGAGGAACAATGCAAGACTGCAAGGACCTCCACCAAATCACACTATCTTCCTTGCAGAAGTCAGTTTCAAGAATCCGATCAGGTGATTCACGGAAGCTAGCTGATGTAAGAGCTTATCTCAGTGCAGCTCTCACAAACAAGAATACATGTTTAGAAGGACTAGATTCTGCTTCCGGTCCATTGAAACCTATTCTGGTGAAATCTTTGATTAGTACTTACAAGCATGTCAGTAACTCTCTTTCAATGCTTCCTAAGTCAGGTTCTAAAAAGGGCCATCGAAATCGTCGCCTCCTGGGATTTCCAAGCTGGTTGTCAAGAAAAGCTCGCCGGATTTTGCACAGCACTGATGATGAATACGACCCGAGTGAAGTGTTGACTGTAGCTGCAGATGGAACAGGAAATTTCAGTACCATCAGTGATGCTATAAACTTTGCTCCAAATAATAGTAATGACAGAATAATTATCAATGTTAGAGAAGGAATTTATGAAGAGAATGTGGAAATTCCAAGCTACAAAACCAACATTGTTCTGCTTGGAGATGGAAGTGATGTCACTTTCATCACTGGTAACAGAAGTGTGTTTGATGGCTGGACCACTTTCAGATCTGCAACTGTGGGTAATGTCCCAAACTCCTAGCTATTGGTGACATTATTAGATAATTAGTAGTAACATTTTTGGGAAAAAAAAACTATTGTTTTGTTGGAATGCATCATTGGGAAGGGAATATATTGAAATTATGATTCATCATTATAACTTTACTCATTGTTTAGTAACTTCATGTTGCAGCGGTAGCTGGTGAAGGCTTTTTGGCTCGCGACATAACCATCGAGAACAGCGCAGGGCCAGAGAAGCACCAAGCGGTTGCATTAAGAGTAAACGCAGACTTCGCTGCACTGTTTAGATGCACAATCGATGGTTACCAGGATACATTATATGCCCACTCATTTCGACAATTTTACCGTGAATGTGACATATATGGTACCATAGATTACATCTTTGGGAATGCTGCTGTGGTCTTCCAGGCATGTAACATAATCTCCAGAATGCCAATGCCAGGTCAGTTCACAGTAATTACTGCTCAATCTCGAGACACCCCAGATGAGAACACTGGAATTTCGATGCAGAATTGTTCAATTCTTGCCACAGATGAACTGTATGGGCATTCAAGCAGTGTTAAAAGCTACCTTGGAAGGCCGTGGAGGCTGTACTCGACAACAGTTTATCTTGAATCCTACATTGATGATTTTATCGATCCTACTGGATGGACTAAGTGGTCAGGTGATCAAGGTTTAGATACCCTTTATTATGGAGAGTACAATAATTATGGACCAGGATCAGG